AAGGAGATGGAGCAAAACCTGAGCACTATTCCGAAGTTAAGGCCTCGGTCTCTTCCGGAGGATTCAGGTCCAGCTAAGGTCCGAATTTCAGCAAAGCTAAGCCTAAGCAGAATCTTCCTACTACTACTACTATACTACTTACCTTGATTGAGAGGTACTAGAGACCTGCCTAGAGCTCTCCTTTGGCAGGTTATCCTCAATGACACCATGCAGACTTGATACCCAGACACGCTGACCTTCTTGTTGTCTTATACTCATCATTACAGTGAGTGAAATATCACATGAGCGATTGCCACCCCGCCTCCCCCGTTTGAGTTTTATCCAGAATCCAAACGACTTCTACCTACAGTCCTAACTATCTTGCCTTCAGAGGACTACCTACTGCGAATGCAAAGTTGACCTGATCTGGGTTGGACTTCCCAGCAAGGGGGCGGTGTTGCTAGAGCCTTTCTGTGCCCTCCACTTTCAGGAAAATGCTCAGAAGCAGCAGTAATAATGTTAGTTTAGTAAGAGGGAAAACAATGAGGAAAAAGGAATTGGCGTTTTATCATTTATTCGATTTTCAGGCAACAGCAATACTCGGCTGGTAAACCATCGAAGCATGACAAGAACAAGCTTATGCGCTCCGAGGGTATCATTCCGATCCAGGCCGGATCGAACAAATATGCTTCCCAGAAGGGAATGACCGGTAAGTCGTGATCTTGAGCTTTCGCAAATTCTACTTCGAACAGGAGTGGACCCAATGCAGCACTGGAAATGTATCCTGCGCGCTTTCTAGGACGGGCAATTTGTACTTCTTTTAGGATTGTTTCATTTAGACATGTACTTGGCCTACGTAGGTGCTGGCTTGTTGAGATTAGTCTACTGGGGTTGATCAATTTTGCTTGGAATGCGCCCCGACTTCGTCCTCCCTTCTCAATTGTAGAAGTCCTTCGAATGCCTATGTAGGTTGGCTTACGGCGGCCTGCCGTCATCAGCTGTACAAATCAGTGCTTTCCCACTCCCGTGCGATTCTTGCGAGCCCGAAGAGATGGAAAGCTTGATCAATTTGGACGAATAAAGGGCTCTGCTGGTCTGAAGAACAATCAGTAATGAACTCTCATACTAGGTCTCAGAATCGCTTGGGTTTTAGCAGCGCCATTTCCCACTATACTACTTCAGCCTAGACCTCTGTGACAGCGGTGATTTTAATAAGTGCGGCAGTTGTTACGTGACTTCCTCGGAGCTTCTGGAAACTTTGCCACCTGACATTAATTATTCACATGTATAGTCGTAAAATGTCAGGTGACGGAAGTGGTATGGTGAAGTGAAGGAAAGTAGTGGAAAACTATGGGCGAAACTGGCACCAGAGCCCCAACAAACCATAATATAATATAAAGGTGTGTCATTGAGTCCACTTCCATCAAACAAAGCAAGTGTGTCTGGTTGCGTATTCGACAGTTTCCTTTAATTGGTAGGAGCTGCAAGTAGGCAGGCTGTCTACTTCTTTCTTGGCAAGATTGACATCAGCACCAAATAGCCGATTCACAAGCTCTGAGAGCCCGGCTTGCATAGCTATTGATCCGGTTTTTCAAAGAGTGACGATTTGGGACGGGAAATACGGCCATTAAATTGTCTTGACTTACAAAACAAAACTCTTGACGGGGATCCAGCAAGTCACACTATCAGATTATTCCAATTCCGTTTATGATCTAGTAGCATTCCTCCACAGATTTTATCTTTCCTATACGAAGCTGACCGGAGGTCGAGTAGCACAATCCACATGTTTCGAGATCGAATTCTTGGGTGGAATTGAGAACAGGGTCAGCTTCTCAGCTTAGGAAAGGAAAGGATAAAAGTGCTGACTAGTTCGGATGCGCATTCACTATGGTAATGAATGAGAAGTGGAGACATGATCCAGCCTAGGCAGGGATTATTCAGTATCTAGCGTTTGATCACATTTGATCAGCAACCTTGGAGTTTAGCCAGGTTGAGATTGACTGATCACGGAAGATACAGAATGCTCGATGAAAGAACTCCTGATGTGGATTAGAAATTTTTTCGAAAAAGTGGACTTTGACCTTGTGGGAACGAATAAGTCACGATACAACGGAAAGCGGATCTAATGACGGCCACGCAAACCATAGAAGAACTTTGGACTGCTCCTGTTTACGCCATCCAAGCGCCTACTATCTTAATCCCATTATCATAACAAGAATAGTAACGGGGCAAAGGGCGAAGTGACGTCCAAGACGAGCATTCAATCAATGCCGGACCTAGTCGCTACATGGGAAACCATAATCCGCCTGCCCTGTAACAAAGGGCAATGTCCAAAGAATAACTGTACTGGGTTTCAGAGCCTCAAGGTTGAAGTTTACATTTCTGGAGGACAGTCCTAGTCCTATTCTGCAATAGGACCCCAGATTTGACTTCCGTTCAGGGTTGTAGGTGCGTTTGAATGTGAATTTGGCCCATACGATTAGTTGCATTGGAATCCGACGTAAAGTCAGTGCTTTGATGTTTCCGAAGGAGTCTGGTATCAATTAGCGGACCAGAAGGGATAGACTGGTTCGCTGGCAGGGGCTGATATCGATTCGAGATTCAGGAACGGGAGACTAAATAGGGATCAGCCTCATCAGATTTATGGGAGACTGTATGCTACTTCCGGCGACACAGATCCTAAACAATTAAAAACCTCACCACTACCCGTGTTCAGGTTTCGGAGTACCCCGTGACGTCATCGACAAAGTCAAAGCCGACAATATTGCCGAGATTACTGATGAGAAGAAGATCGAAGCTCTGAAAGCGTCCACCTGGCTTCAGTCCGGTACCAACAAATTCGCCTCACAGAAGGGACAGACCGGTAAGTTACCACTAACCAGCCGCTACTCCATCATGACCACAATCTAGAGAAGACTAATATGAGGGTTTGTTTAAGGCTTCGGTTCGCCTCGTGATGTCAACTACAAGACCAAGGGTACCGGTGGTGCTGGTGAGGTGCCAGAAGAGAAGGTGANTTACTGATGAGAAGAAGATCGAAGCTCTGAAAGCGTCCACCTGGCTTCAGTCCGGTACCAACAAATTCGCCTCACAGAAAGGACAGACTGGTAAGTTATCACTAATCCAGCCGCTACTCCATCATGACTACAATTTCGAGAAGACTAATGTGAGGGTTTGTTTAAGGCTTCGGTTCGCCTCGTGATGTCAACTACAAGACCAAGGGTACCGGTGGTGCTGGTGAGGTGCCAGAAGAGAAGGTGACTAGATTTTCCCTCAAACAGATCACAGCCGGTTAGTAAGGTAAACCTCCTACAGTACTCTACCCAGTGCTTTAGGTGGTTCATCTTTCACTAATGGTCCCGATCAAAAAAACGTTATCATTCCCTATCAATAAAATTTCCATAGTGGATGCGTTCAGGCCCGTGCGTCCGACGGTATTGTACCCCTCCAATCTGGTACCAACAAACTCGCTTCTCAAGCTGGTATGACTGGAATTGGAATGCCGCGTATCGTCGATGGTAAGCTTGAGGCTGTCAGAATGCCCTCGAAATAGAACGAGCTCAATCCTCTCCGTTTCAGTACGCAAGGCCGAGGAGCAGGATCGAGAATCGCAAGGATTCATCCATCTTCAGATGGGAACCAATCGATTCGCTAACCAGTCTGGTATGACTGGTTTCGGTATGCCCCGTCACAACATCACCAAGTTCGTAAGCCCAATCTCCTTGAAAATTTTCAAATATGTTTATGAGCTTAGGTTTTGGGGTTATCGGACAACCGTTACAAATCATTCGTATCACGACAACTGTTATTCTATGGGGCGAGATCGTACTAGAGAGAGGTAAACCGTATGGGGGTTCAAAGTGGAGTACTGCTTACAGTTTAATTGCCACCAGGACAGCCCAGGGAAAGCCGGAGAACCGAAAACACCTCAACTGTTCAACGGACGAAGTACTCGGGATGCTGTGGACCACTCATCCTCTCCCAATACAGACTTCTCTAGGTTGAGCTCGGTATCCTCGCCCCTCATTTGTCGTGATCGTTCCACTCTGACCAAAGAGGGAAGTTTTTCGGAATAAATAGCCATGGTGAAACCGCAAATTACATTGAATATTCATCGTAAGCTTATCACTGCTGGAAATCGATTATCGATCATAATCGATTGAACAAAGATCGATCGAAAAGTTGTTCAAATCCTATTAGATTGATCCATCCTCGTGATATACTAAAAGGCAGGCATAGATGCCACTAATCTTTATCACCGAGTAGAACCGTGTGGCTGTGGTAGAGATAGTTAAGGGTTACTTACTTCAACTGGCCCTCCTTTTGTTGTAAACAAGTAAATAAACAAACAATTAGTCAAGTACCCTAAACGCATCGTGTTTCAGGTACAAGGATGAAGTTCGTGGTGAGATGCCTCATGACGAGGGAACAACCTCAAGACAGACATCAGGATGGAGAGAGGGTGAGTATTACAGCACCACCTGACATCAGTAAACCTCAAGAGCCAGCCGTGTGTCTTCAAAATTCACCGTAATGGCAGTCCTAGGAATTTTGCACTTGAAATTTGTTTTGAAAGGGGTTTGTCTGGGAGGTGCAGCGCTTAAAAACATCAGAAAGCTACGACTACGGAATACTCAATTTCTCATTTCTTGTCAGCCGTCCCGTCGGAAGATTGAACTTGAACAAAGTGAAAGGGTGATTTTCAGGAGCTTCACAAGCCGGTATGACTGGTTTCGGTGCTTTCCGTAACAACACTGTCGCACTTCTTCAGGCTCAGGAACAGCGTTCCCAGGTGAGTAAACTAGTCTTTGGCTACCATGGAGAACACAGTAATATAGCACTTTACAGGGTATGATTCCCTACCAAATGGGTGTGAACTTCCTCGAATCACAGGCTGGTAAGACCGGATTTGGTATGCCTAGACAAGTAAGTTTTTAAGACTGAAATCTTGGAAAGTCAAAAATCGAAGGCTAGTGGACGCTTTAAGGTATACACCGCTTTCGTCGACGATACCCATGAAGATCTTCCTGCTGATATGGCACGTAGACCGGAAGTCCCATTCTGGACTGGGCAAGATGAAGCTAGGCACGCCAATCAGGTGGGTACGGCTACCTTGAGGAGAACTGAGCTAGTAGAGAACTCCTCACTGGGGACTGCTCCTACATAAAAGCAACGTTTGAACTCCATTGAACGAATCAGTTCTGTCCATTTCACAAATTATGCACTAGTGTGTTGAACGGACTCCGACGCGAGCGGTCGCGTAGCGGCTGGTATGTTCAGTTTATTGGAACCTCTAACTAAACAACTTTTCAGACCGGTATGGGAGCTTTCGGTACACCTCGTGATGTACGTGGAGAATACGTTCGACGCATGTGGTGATCGCCGCCATACTGCAATCCTGTCGTGTCGTGCCGCAGTCGTCGTTATCGTCATCGCATCGATAAATGCCTAGCCATACAGTACATAGAAATACAAGCCTATGCACAAAAAATACAATAGTTATCGTACCCTGTGGAATTTGTGACATACCGTACCCTTATGAATTCGATAAATCTCCCCTCGAAAACACGGCTCATTTCAGACAACANGTGATCGCCGCCATACTGCAATCCTGTCGTGTCGTGCCACAGTCGTCGTTATCGTCATCGCATCGATAAATGCCTAGCCAGTACATAGTAATACAAGCCTATGCACAAAGAATACAATAGTTATCGTACCCCTGTGGAATTTGTGACATACCGTACCCTTATGAATTCGATAAATCTCCCCTCGAAAACACGGCTCATTTCAGACAACATCTAACATGCCAGTGACGATACTTCTTGCCTACTTGCATATTTGCATCCCTATCTGTCTTTACCATATGTTTATATACGAGAATTTAATAAATATGCCTACACGAAATTTGAAACGGGAAAATTCCATAATTATGGACTAGAAACTGCGTTTAGGATGCAGAAGGATGTTTTGGTTCTGTGAAGAGTAGACAGTCCGTCCTGCGGGGTCAGCAATTATAAACCCTAGAAGGGTTCTCATTGGGTCAGTACCATCCAGATTTTGAATCTACCAATAGGGGCTGCGGTAGATGTCGGCAAACTCCGTAATCAGCTACCATAGGTGGCCGATAATTTCAAACAAACCCTAGCATTTCAGTGGAAGACTTCAAAATGGGAAAAGGGTAAGCGATAGGTGCAGTTCCAACTGACAATCCGTGCTCGTTGCTACGGTATGGTCTATAAACCGTGATGATTATCATTTTTCTCAATTACAGTCAAGACAACCGATTCCTTTATTGAATGAAGAGCAGGTAGGATTTCAAGCTGGTCTCGACTATTTAAAGAAATTGTCATCAAGAGTAACACGCTTCGGAAGAAAAGAAGGAAAAATTGAGGTGAAACGAATACAAGAGTGATAATGCCACTAACGATATACATGAAAGAAAAAATGGCTCCCTGACTCACGATCAGGTGATGAATCAATTCTGTTGCTTTGATAGTAGTAAACAATCAACACGTGACCATATAACTGTTTCCAAACGTAAATTACTGGCGGCGATTGTTGGCCCAACAAGTGTGGCCGATCATATTCTGTTGCGAAATGACAGCGCGCTTCCTTGCAGGATGCTATCGCTGGAGGAAGAGAGGCAGTAGGAACGGTTTTGTCTATACTATCCGCCGCACGCGGCTGTTTGCCCATTTGCCTCGTTATAACATTTCTAGCGTTCTTCATACAGCTCAATC